TGTGTATGTGTGTGTGTGTGTGTGCCTGCGCTAGGAAATGGATGGTTGGCCATCGTGGGAACCTCCACAAAATTGCCATCACACCAACTACCCACACACTCACTGTTGTACATAGCATGACAGCCCTTGGTCTGTTCAGTTATAGAAATCAAAGTTCAGGGACTCTGGATCATTCAATTTGAGCCAGAACAAATGTAACTCCTAATATGCTGGGTTCCCATGCACCACAAGAATACTGGTTTAAATTAGCAGCAGTGCTGACTGAGATATTTAATTTGTGCCCAGGCTGAAAGGGTTTAAGAATGACTGAACAGAGACCAATATTCAATTAGAAAATTCCTGTGCTGCTATGTTATTTCATTAGTCTGATGCATTGCATCATTGCATTCATTCTGAATTTATTCCATCACAATGTGATGTGTTCAGCTGTACGATAGACAGACAGATGGACAAATAGATAGATAGATAGATAGATAGATAGATGCTGATGTGGTGAAGATCTTTCTGGTGCTGATTATAATGATAAAAGGATAGTCGTGTGGCCAGGCTGCTGCTTGATGGATAATACTCCCCAAGCAACAACAACACTGTGATGTCAGAAACTTCTTGTCTACTTGTCAGAGACTCACGTGTCCCCTCCCCATCTGAGATACAAAGACCTGAGGCTGCCTACCTACCGCTGCAGTCAGGAATGTAACAACTTACACCGCCTGTTAAGTCTCAACGCGTGACACAAACTTCTACTACATGTGTTACAGTACATACTATATTATGTTGTTACTGTCTGTCTGGGCTATCATTAACCTTTTAATGAAAGATAGGAAGTTCACTCAGTGGGAAAATATGTACTCTGTATTAGAGTTGTTCTCACTCGCATTAGTACATTTCTCAAATCATCCCTAACATTTGTAAAACAGTAAGTGCATTTCTCGAAACATATCGAACAAACAGCACAACACTGTGGATTACCTGCAAAAGCCCGTAACTTGATCAAAATCCTTAGTCTATCTGTCAAAAGCAAATCTTTATGTCATTGAACATGTCAGTGCTATCAGAATGACAGAAGTCCTAGAGTCATTGTTTACAAACAAGATAGTCAAAATGTTTAGTCATGTTATCAATATAACAGTGTACTCTGTAAGTGTTTTCTGATGTAAACTATGGCTAACGTTTTGATGAAAACGACTGAAAATATGGCATATCAATTTCAAGAGTATAAAGTTATACATCGCAAGAGATTGGACAGGATTCACTGTTACATTTTTACGGTTCTTACTATAATTTGTTGACAGACCTTGTAATTGTGATGCAGAAAAGGAAAAGAAAGGACTGACTGAATTGCACGACAGTAGAAATTACAAAATTAGAAATGTAAGCATGTGAAACACTCCCTAGGCTGATGTTCCTGTCTGTCAGGTCGCAGATTCTTATCCACATCACAAAGGATATCTTCATCAATTACAGTAAGGAGACATTTACAAAAAAAAGTTCAATAGACATGTATAGAAAATATGACTGACAGATATACGACGATCTCTCTCTGTATATATATATATATATACACACACACACACATATAGGCCTATAAGTATACATTTACTGGCGTATATTATCTATATTGCACTATTCCCTGTTCACTGTGTATGTTATTGTGTGTATCAGACGAATGGTCTGAGGACTGTGTTGTTACTGTAGAATGTTGTGATTTGTTGTTGTCTATTGTCTGTCTTTGTTTATGCATCATGGTCTGTACAAAACAACATTTCGGTCAGCTGTATACTTGAATGTGAAGAATGACAATAAAGTTTGACTTTATTTAACTTTGATTTTGACAGCGTTTTCAGCCATTTTGCATGTAGTGACTTATGCAATGAACTTATGCCTAGATGTTTTGGGGTGTAAGACTATTCACCAGATAACTGTTATAATTCGTTGTGATCAACATGACATAAGCAATTGATAATGTAGGAAACAGGAGATTGTACATAATCATTTGCTTCAGTGTGTCAAAGCATTTGCAATATGTTCAAAACAATGAGAAATCACTTTTATGATGTGCTCAAGTGACAAGATGATGTGGGAGTTGAACATGCAGTTTTGAATTCAATTCTGATCTGAGAAATGTACTAAAGTGAGTGAGAAAAACTGTAAGATTCTGTAATTTTACCTTTTGAACATCAATATTTTCAACATTCCTCCGTAAACCTCAATAGCTTCAGTGTTAGATTAAAAATGTTTTCCACTTTGACTCACATAGTCTGTACTTTTAACACAACTGCTTGTTCCAGTGCTCCAGTTACATTTGTTTTTTTATTGAGTAAAGCTAAAACAATTACAAGTCATTTAATCGATTAAAAACTATTTTGATATTTGATTAATCATTAGTTGTTGTGTCTCTAATGTGAGAATTTGCTGTTTTTCTTGCTGTCTTTTATTAAATAGAATATATTTGCATTTAACATTGATATTTGGACTGCACAAGCAATTTAAAAAAAACGTCACCTTGGCCTTTAGGAAATAGTATTTAACATTAATTGATGTTACTGAAATTCTAAAATTCAGATTTTTAGTTTTATGGGTCCTCCATCACATTGAATGGAAAATTTCTACATGTTTAGTGCATTTGTTTGACATGCTCCCCTGTAATTTACCATGAAATATCTGGTATTTTTGATCCGAATTTAACACTATAGTTTTGAACAGTTTTTGGCTATAAAACACGAGTTTGTAATGATGTATCACATTTATGATGATGATGTTCCAACTTTTAAATTTCCACATGACATCGATGTCACAGCAAGTCTTGCTTCATTGTGGAATCTAATGTTTGATGTTTAATGGACTTAAAACAAACAAACAAACAAAAAAACTGCCTTTTTAAATGAGTCACATACTCCCTGCTCTGTGAGATCCCTGCCCTGTGGCCCCCTGGGGGTCCTTGGCCTTTAGTTTGAGGACCAGTGGCCTCTAGCAGCAGGATTAACCAGGCCAGCTGCCCTGAGAGACCCTGGGCCCTGGACGCTGACATCAGGCCTGACCCCAGGGTGGCTACTATCAGGGACCCTGAGGGGATTTGGACAGGACTTGCTGTGTATATATGTGTGTGTGTGTTGTTCTTTCTGTTGGACAACTGTTGAGCCAGTACAGATTTGTGCAACGGTGTGTGTGTGTGTGTGTGTGTGTGTGTGCTTGTATGGTCAATTCTTTCCGGGGGTTAACTGCTGATCCAGTACAAATGGGAGTTGTTGGGGGGGCTGAGGGCAGTCGTGTGCTCCTGGAACATCTGCCCCTGTTTCTCCTGAGTCAAGCTTTGGTCAGGAGCAGGAGGGGGGGGGGGGACTCAAAGCAGAGGGGATCGAAGAAGAGAAGGACGAGTCAGCGTAGGAGGAGGAGGAAGTTGAAAAGATCTAGTGTGAATAGGCAACAGACCCAAACACTGGCTGCTGAAAGTGGGATGCAGGATTATATAAACCCCTTTCCACTTCTGGTCTTTTGTGTAGCCTAATGGAGGATATTTTCAGGGGTGTGAATATAAAGTGTATGTGTATATGTGCGCACATCCATGGACATACAATAAAGATTAGCTAAAACTCACATCAGGGTCCAAAAACCTTTATCCTGGTCCTGGATACACTGGGTTTGAACAGTGTGTGAGTTTGAAGGGCATACAGGCTACTGGGTCAACATGATAAAAGCACATTTTCATAAACAACACAGTATCCTGATTCCAGACCCAGTTTATCAGCAATTAAAATAAGGTGAAAACAAAATGGCAATTCAGAATACATGCAACAAATATATTTTACATGACTTGCAACTCTAAACCTCAGTTAATACAAAACAATAATACAAGTTCCTACACGGAGCTCATAAGACATCTCACAAACTGAACTGAGTTACCCAGATGATATGCCTTTACTGTCCACCTGCATCCTCAGCCTCAGCACCCCTCTTTGTCCAACCATCTCACTAGTGGGTGATTTTCTGCACTTCATATCAGACTAAAGCATTATTAATAGCATTAAGGGTGGCTAAGAAGATTAAGTTGCCCAACTGAAAAGATAAAGCTAAATTGTCCATTTAACACTTACTCAGTTTGTTGACAGATCACTCCATTCTAGAAAAACTGACAGCCACTTTACAAGACAACTTCAAACTGTTCTGAGACACTATCTTTTCTGTTCTCCTAGAGCCCTGTATTTTTTTGTGTAACTGAATTTTTTGTGTGATGTTACTGTTTTCCATCTTGTTGTTTACACATAACAATTCATTCTGATTATCAGGCTATAAGTATGGACCTCAACCTGAGAAATGACCACAGAAATAACAATTTTGTACATGAATAACTTTAAAACAAATGGGCTAAGGTAAAGCAGCTGGTGATTAAACACCTGCACAGCCTTCTTCCTAAAGGCATTCTCAAGGCTAAGGTGATCCTAACCTAAAGACTTACAAAGGAATAAGAGTGGGGGCAGGCAAAATTACAACACAGCTCCTCCCTACTTGGATTGTCCTCCCAGTCCACAGAGCATCTGGCTAAGGAACGACAGATGCTGACAGCTGGACTGACATCCAGCATATGCCCCTTTCTTTATTCTTGCTCCACTCAGACAATAGAGTGGAAGGGACGGGGGTGCTTTGTGTTGAGAAGGTAGACCTAATAGCTTGTGACTCCAGAAAAGAGCCCCCATTCTCCAGGAGAGCCTGGAGAGCAATTAGCCCTTCTTTGATCCCAGCCTGGGGAGTTATTGTGGGAGGACTGAGCCCACAAAAACCTCAATGGTCCATTCTTATTCATGCCACGTAAAGATGTTTATTTTTTACTTACAACCTCGGTAAATGGTGAAATTAGCGGTCCAATTTGTGTTCTAGGGATACATTTTATTTTGGGTCCGCATAGTCCTTTATATTTGGATTAATCGCACAGATACCACTGCATTGTAGTCTTGGTGGTGGGTTCCGCGCGCCGAGCACGTGTGCTTTGTTTTGCAACGTGATGACGCCACGCGTAGCTCATAGGAAGTGATTTGAATTTACACAAGTAAACACAACAAGGACAAACGCTACTCGTGAACAGCAAGATTTTAAAGTAAGATTTTGTATTGTGAAACAATAATATGGGCTAAACGTATACACAGACGTAACTTAGTTTTAGACTAGTTGGTTTATAAAGACACAAACGCTGCAGACTCGGAAATAAGATTTTAGCGGCTAGAAGCTAAGCTAACTCTATTCTCACTGAACACTGAACTGAACATGGCAAGCGGTCACATAATGTCACGTTGTGTTTTGTTTTATGTCGTCCCGACGTGAAACCGAAACAGTCTCACTAATAAAACCGTAAAATATAAGATGTTAGGCACACGTGAAATTAAAGTGGTGCCTAATAAGCTGTTCATATTTGTAATACTGTGTCATATCAACCTACTTCATGTACATAATAATACCTGCACAAACATATTTACTCCAGCATCCTTTGCACTCTGCTCCTCCATTACACTATTGTCTTGCTGTCTACAAATGTTTTTGTTTACGGTATGTGTGTATTATAAGCTGTAGTCTGAGTGTGTTTGTGTTTTGTTTATGCTTGTTCTATGTACATCGAGAGCAATGTAAGACCGGAGTCAGTTTCACATACCTGGACATTAAAGCTGATTCTGATTCTGATAATTCAGCACCTTGCTAAATCTGTCTCTCTGTTTCTTCTCTGTAGAAATGGGTGTCAAAGGTCTTCAGCACTTTATGGACCTTTGCTGTCCAGAAGCCTGTGTGACTGTAAACCTGAGAGAAATGGCCAGACAGCATGTTGCCAAAGGCCAGCAAGGCAGCACAAGCACAGCTGACACTACCAGTTGAGTCTGTTTCACTGTGTGCGAGCAGTGTGACAGTGTAAATCTGATGTGGTCCATGTTTTTGATTACCTTACCCTTGGTTAGTCAGGGGAGGAGATGGGGATGTTATCAAATAAAACAAATAACAGAACTTGTTTTCTGTAGCACCTTTCAAACAAGCTGCTGCACAGGTGCAGGTAAAACTTTCTGCTCTACCAATGCAGGTATATACTGTATACATCTGCCCACAGTACTTGTTTAAGGTTGTGCCATTGTGAGTAGTGGTAACCATACATACACTTACATTATTACTAAGAGTACTGTTACACATCTGCGATGGACTGGCGACCTGTCCAGGGTGTACCCTTTTGCCCGATGTCAGCTGGGATTGGCTCCAGCCCCCGCGACCCTGTACGCAGGATAAGCGGTTGGATGGATGAACTGTTACACATGCTAGTTGTAATAGATAGTAATACCTGGACAACTGGAATACCTGTTTTAACAAGAAAGTTAAATAGATATATAGATAATATAGCATTCAGTGTGAAAACACATGCATCTGTCTGGTCTGGGTGATGAGCCACAAAATAACTGAATTGTAATCCCCAAAGAGATATAAGAGAGATATCAAATGTCAATTTGGGCTCAAAGCATTTAACATTTTAATGTAATAAATTTGAAATTTGAATGGGAGCAGATAATAGTGTAGTGAGTCCTCGGATATTTAGATGACAGACAGAAATTTTGCATTTGATGATTAACAGTATATTTAGTTTTCTGTTTTTTTCTCTTCCTTGTCTTTAATATATGAATCATTTAACTATTTATAGATTAGTGTTAGTCAAAACATGTATAGATTTTTTCAGTATCCCTAATTTTAAACCACATACATAGACTTTGCTTCAGTAATGCAAGTAGTTTGAAAGATAAAAGTAGTGCTAACAAAGTGAAAACAGTGACAGCCACAAAAACAGGAAACTGGACATTTATTATGTATTATTGGGGTATTTTGTCAGGGTGGGTCAACACGCAGGCCTGCTCTTTATTACATTTGTATTTTACTCTTATTTAGGCCCCACACTTGTTGTGGATGGTATGGCCTGCCTGCGCCACTGGTACTCATGTAAGGACTGGGTATGTGGGGGCCAGTGGAGGGAGTACATGGATGTGCTAAAGACCTGGGTGGAGGCCTTCACTTCAGCAGGCATCAGACTAGTCTTCTTCTTTGATGGGGTGGTGGAAGAGCAGAAGAGACAGGAGTGGGTGAGGAAAGAATCTCTGTAAACCTGTGGTGTTTTATATATATATGTATATATATATATTTTTTCTTTTAGAAAACATATTTAAATGCTGTAATTCACAACACGCACGTCTTAGAAGTTCACCTGATGAAAGACTGTCAATCCACTACTGTCTTCAGTTATAGAGTTTATTGACATATTGTTTTCTGTAGCACAACAGTGTAGATGTTAATGATGTCACAGGATTTAAAGAACATATGCATGATGTATCAAAAGTCTGTCATATTTACTGACATGATCTAGTAAGTTTACACTGTCTCAGCCCCCTGTATGCAACATCCTCTCCTGTCCGCAGGTGAAGAGGAGACGCAGAGTGAACAGGGAGGTTTCTAAATTATTTCGTCACATGAAGGCACATGGAGTGCAACCTGGTAGAGAGCTCTTTTGTCTGCCTTCTGGTCTGGCAACATTCACGCCCTTTGCTCTCAGGTAAGCATTTACGAGACTGATCACGATGCAGCAGCCCTCTTGTACATAATCTATACATCGTGACAATACAGTTAGTAATGTATGTTTAAGACAGTGCTTCATTGATCTGAGATCTGATTGATTTTTGTTGCGTACAGGTCACTGGGTCAGGAAGTGTTCTGCTCAGTACAGGAGGCTGATTATGAGATAGCACGCTATGCTCGTCAGCATAGCAGTATGGGCATTCTGGGACAGGACACAGACTTTATCATATACGACAGGTATGCTAAAATGATCACGTTGTTATACTTTTGGACTTTGTTGAATTTAAATATTAAAAAATCATACATTAAATTGCTGCAGAATTACCTGCACTACAGTACCCACTGGTCACAGTTAAAATGCTGAAGTTGATAATAGATTAATAGATTCTGGAACTTTGATGTTATGGATTGATAAGTCATTGAAAATGTGGATAAACTGTCTGATCTGAACATGTAGTTTTATCTTAAAGTGCCCCCTACTTGTCTGTGGCAAAGCTGCGGATAGACAGCCTCACCACTGTCCTGTACGACCGACAGAGGCTCTGCCGAACCATTGGATTGGCTGTTACCCAGCTACCACTGCTGGCCTGTCTGCTAGGTAACGATGTGGTGTCAGAGGAGAAGATGCAGCACATCAGGAACGACGCCATGGAAACATACAGGTGCCTTTGAGGTTTTACCTTGGTGTTTGCGTGCTATTAATATTTGTTATTACTTATGAATATTGAAATGGAATTTTCATTCTTATCCTCTTTAAAATAAACGTCCTCTTTATTGTTGACTACATTTAGTTAAAAGAACATTAAAACCGAATTTGTAATATTTATGATGGTGAGTTAGCTTAGTTAAAGTTAAGATGAGGACATTACATGACAGCAATTGTATTGTTTCCCAGGATAAACAAACCTACACCACACTCGGGTGCTCCTCAGGGGCAGATGGTTCTAGCTGTATCCCACCTTGTGAGCTCCTTGTGGGGCAGAGATGAGGTAGAGACTGGGCTTATCCCCCAGTCTCTGAATCTGTCTGCTGCTCAAAGAGAGCTGTTGAAGAGGGGGATTTGCTCCTACTTGCTGCCTGGACAGGAAGTTCTTCAACGAGGTGACATCTCTGCACTTCCCTCTGCCCCTGCCTTTGAGAAAAATGTTAGTCCAGAAATCTTAAAGGTATGTTCTGTACTTCATTCTGTCTCTAATGTTTTGAGATATGAAATGCCACATTGGCTTATTACTTTTTACTTTGTGGTTTTCCCCAGGCCTGTAGAGAGAAGCACGTAGCAGCAGATGGTTTCATGGTTTACAGTGTTGTGTGTGAGGGAGTCATTGAATGTAGCAACACTCTGGAGGATGAGGAGGACGCTGAATTGCTGCCTCAGGCTCTTGTCTACAAGCCCTGCAGACAACACATCTATGGACTGCTGCTGCACGGGCATGATGCTAGGACAGTGAACTTAATAGATGGGCTGCACACATACAGTAAATACAAATGTTTAAGGTCATATCTTAAGGTCAAAGATGCACATGCACACAGTCAAAGAAAGCACATATCTAAGACACATGCAGATGTAAAGGTAGACACCCACAACTTAGTATACTAAACATGCTGAATGTGCGTATTCACAGGCACATACTGTGCACACACCTCAGGAGAAATGTATTCTTAGCACCGGAGTTTATGCTTTTACTTTGTGGTGTTGTGAATACTGTAGTTTAATAATAAAGACATGAATGTTTGTTTTGTCTTTTTCAGACATCAGCCTGAAGTCAATACAAGTATAACCTTGACTTATTTGCGTGTTTTCAGGCAGCACTGTTGACCTTCCAACCATCAGGGAGTGGTTTGTCTACCCTGGAAACCCTCTGAAGGAACCTGACATGGTCCACCCTGTCCCAATCAGCCTTCCATGTACTTTACCTTTTTCTTTATATATTGATTTACTAATGTTATTTCAATCTAGTTATGCCATCTGATGCAAGTTTAGAAGATGAGAGTTTTTTTGCTATAGTTCTGTTGAATTGTTCTTGCTAAGATGATGATACACTGTGCCACTCTTGGGTAATGCCCATTAAGTTTACAATGCTCCAGATAAGCAACGAAAACAACAACAACAATGAGTCATGTGGTCATAGAATTGTTTCCAGTGTTTCCTCTGTAATTAAATTAGCTATAGACTAAACTCATAGGCATCATTGGCCATCTGAATGACTCTGAAAAGTCCCCTCTGGTTATGCTTAGTACATTAAAGTTACTTCAACATTTTATGCAGTGTTTCTGCATCCAAAGCAAAATTCCACTGTATTTTTCTCTGTCTGAATGTGTAGGTGATCCGCCCGGTCTGGACTTGTTATGGTTCGGCACTGGTCCTGAAGTTTCTGCTCTTCGCCTGCTGTCATTCCTTTCAATTTTTGACTGCCAGGAGTTCGCCGAGTTATTTGGAGCTATTGAAGACTCTCTGCTGGCTGCTCTCTGCCTGGTCACTTACATAGCCCTCCAGGTAGTGTCAACTTTTTGTCGTTTCTTTGACAGCTTTCAGTGAGTAATGACAACACAGCTATAAGAAGTAAAACAGAGGTGAGGTGATTATTTATTGGGCTAAAATCAAATAAATTAAACAGGAAAAGGTGGCAACTTGTTGTCTTACTACATATAATCGTCCAGGAAAGAGAAACAGAAAACGCAGATTAAATATTTAGCCTAAAATGTAATTTATTTTTATTTTATTTTAATCAAAAAAACATTTTCTCTGATGGTATACTAGTATTTAGTCCACTACAACCTCATCTTGAGTCATGTTGGGTGTTCCAGTTGCAAAAACATTATTAGTGATGGGTACTTCGAAAATAGTCTCCACTGTGATTGATATGGCTGTTTTGGTTTTTGTCAGCCGGTCTGCCCATATGGCTTCGACTTCAATGAAGAAGTTAAGCTGTTAAATGAAACAGTCGAGGACAATGGAATAAGTTGGTATTTAGGCACTTCAGTTGAGATAATGCCAGTGTGTGGGTAGTAAAGCCACACCTGTTGTATGTTGTGTGACAAACACACAAGTCAGCCTTTGATTTTGGATTTACATCTGTAACATATACAACAATTATTCAGCTCTTGTGATTTGAAGTTAAACATCACTTGTTAGCGGTCTCTTTTTTTGTCATGGCTTGGTGGTCGCCACTATCACCCAGAGTGCCCAGTTTAGCCGCAGTCACAAGTCTCCAGCTCTTACGTCAACAGTTGCTCTGATAACCACCCAGGGGCTTTAAATATCTTAGTGATTACTTAATTCACCTAACTACAATGCTGTCTTTATTTTGGTTGCAAAATCTTGTTGAATCTTAAACTATAAACATTTGTTCTGTTTGTAATCCTGCCGTAATGCCTTGTTTTAGTTTCTCCAGCACAATCAAAGTATATGAAAGAAGCAGAGATTTGTGTTTTTGGTTTGACGTCATGTAATTGTGCTTTAACACAACAGACATCACAGGATCACATTACCTGGATAAAGGTGCGTGCGTCATTTAGCATGAAGCTAAACAAAAAATACAGTGTAGATTATTGTTATCGAACAAATGTTTTGGTATCGGACAGGTCTTAAATAGCTATTTAATGCCTCCAAGTTATATCTTCAAAGAAATTTATCTTAAAATTTTCTAAATGTGCTCATGAAATTTTACTTTTCTTCCACATTTGAAAATAATGCGTGAATTCACACAGTCTTTTTGTTGAGCTGAGTTGAGGAAGTGCTGTCTGCAGGGTTTATGCTGTCTTCCAACCTCATCAGAAAAAAACTGAGGATGATAGAGTGGCTTTTTCATGATGCATGTGTGCATGTTGTCTTAAAAGAGTACTCCACTGATTTAGCATCACATTGCTAAACATTGATGGACAGTAAAAAAAAATGGATTGATGCACCAAGAACCAGAGATCTGTTTTCATGTGAGACATTTTTCTATGAGCTTGCCTCAAGAAGAGATGAGGAGCTCAAACTCGTAATCTTCAGCACCAACTGATGTGACTCGTAACATCACTTGAAGCAGTTTGTCAGACTTTGCATGGCTGCCTCAGGCCCCACCACTTTTTTCACGTATGTAGTAGTACTCCCCAACACCTGTAAACAGACTTTGATGTATAAAATTGGTTCCACTTCAATGTTAAGAGCAATCTCTTATTCACATTATTCTGCCTAAAAACATTTATTTACACATTATATGCATCATATGCAATTAATTGTGTAAACAGTAAAATGTCCTATCCTACTTTATTTACACTTTATTTACACTGTATACAACTGTCACTCTAAGCTAACAATAAAAACATCTGAACAGTTTGCTATGAAGGAGTGTTTTCACAATTTAATTTGAATGACAAAGCACAAAGGAAAAGCATTAAGAAAGGTGACCAAAGTAGGGCTGAACAATATTATTGAAATCACAATATGGCCAAGTGCAATATCCAGAGCTGCAATTTTTTTTCTTTATAAATGGAAACATTATCGTGCTACAGAGATGTCACCGCCTGCAACTCATAGTCTATTTGGTACAAACCCCAGCAAAAATCACATCATGCCACATTTCCTTCAGTGAAAAATAAAAGCAAAAATCGTGACTCATATCGCAATATCAGTTGTTGATGTTAACCCTACACCTCAGTAAGTTAGACCTGTCTTTACAACATCATTTGAGCTAATAGCACTCTGAGATCGACAGGCACCCTTCCAGACAGATGCAGATTTTTGGGCAAACAACCAGACGGGCACTTGGAGCCAGTCATTTAAATGGATGAAGGAGCAACAGACAGACAGAAGAGCAGTTTGTGAGATGGATCGTTAGATGATTGGACAACGACAAAGTCGAGCTGGCAGACAACTGTAGCTGTTGTCTGATCCCTGCTGTATTCACATTCCCTCATCACTCTTCTATTTAAATAGCTGCAGGGTTTGTTTTATACACACAACTGGGCAGCCTTGTTTCTGTGTGCAGCCTTGTTTCTTTCTCTGTTGAATTGTTACAGAAAGAGCAGACAAAACAAACTGACCCACACAGAAGACACACTGGGATGTGATCGCACTGGCTAACCATATATTTTCCTATGGGTGTACATGTTTGTGTGTATGTTTTCAGGTACCAGCTTTGTCTCAAGAGGACTTGGATGCTTACCTGAGTCAGGCCGTGTGTCTGAGACTAAAATCCTCTCAGGAGCTTCAACAGATCAAAGTCAGTTACAAACACAAACACACACATACTGTATATGACATCTATTGCTTTTATATTTTTACTGATTTTCAACCAAAAATAGCTATGTTGTATTTTTTGAAGGAACAGACCAGTTTTCTGATCCCCCCCCCCCCCCTCACCTGCCTAGTGATCAAGAAGCACCGATCAGAATGACAGGAAATTAATGAAAAACATTGTTAATTAAGTGAGTTGTTTATCAAACAAAAATGCAGACTCTCTGTTTCCATTTGATTAGATGTGAGGATTTTCTTTTTTTCTCTGTATTACATCAAACTAATCGAATATTTTTGAGTTTTGGATGGTTGGTCAGACAAAACAATTAATTTGAAGACGTTTGTGCTTTCAATGGGGCTTTTGAACTATTTTTACAAAATGGTTGATTCAATCATAAACAATAATTCACATATTAATCAATAATGACTCAATAGTTGCGGACGTAAGAGAACACTTCTGTCCTCTCAAAGAGTCTTCAGTGATCATTCAGTGACTTGTGAGCTCTCACAGATGTGAGAGTCAGCTGTGCTTTTCCATTCTCTGGGAAAACGGCTGTGCTGTTTGCTGCCTTGTTGTAGCCCCATTTATTTTTACTGCTTAATTACCATACTTGTGTCTAGTAATTTGTATTTTTGCTGCTTGTCTGTTCTACACAATAATTAGGGCTGGGCGTTGATTTGAATATGCTGTCTGGGAGAGGTTCAGAGCGGCAGGAGGGGGGTTAACTGAGTGACTAGTGTATGGATTAACACGCACACAAAAACTTAACACGTGAATTTAACCACATGCTCCCTTCAGCACATCACACTTATACACATGTCATTTGTCCAACCTCCCCCCCCCACCAGATTTTTTCGAATAAAGATTAGAATGGTTTGTGTGAGTGTGTGTTCAACTGAGTAAAAATTTGTCACACCATTTGTGTGTGTGTGTGTTTAGGGGAAAAGGGTTGTGGGTACTAGGTTTTGGGATCTTTATGTTGCGTTGCAACATTCCTCCCCATGGGACTGTGATTGTGGCGTGTGTGTGTGTGTGACAGAGAGAGTGTGTGCTGGCGACAGCCGCCGTCTGTCCTGGCTGACGCTCACCACATGGAGCTATTTACACCAAGCACACTCCGCCCCGCTGGACACACACACACACACACACACACGTTGCTGTCTTTGTCTCACTCACTTTGTGTGTTCTCATATTCTTCTACTTTTTTACTCTCAGCCACTTTCTCTTTTTCTGTCTCTGTTGCTCTTTATCTTTTTTTTTCTCCCGGCCCCTTTGTGTCGGTGTGTTTGCGTGCGCCTTCAGGCTTTTGTGTTTCTGTCCAGAGGTTCATTGTTTTCAGAAGGTGAAGCTGTGTTTGACTGGAAGCAGGTGGCAGACAGGGCTGTGTGAGTGTATGTACACATAATCACTGTTATCAGTGCTATCTGCCAGAGGACAGGTGAGAGCAGAAAGCAGGCACACACACACAGACAACATCTGACTGCTGTCGTTACAGTTAGCTTGTTCTCTGTTGTTCATCATCCTTCTCGAGTTTCTTCTTTCTTTTCTTTCTCCAATGCTGACTTCTATGGTCTTTGTTAGCAAGCAACGTAACCTTCCTGTTGTTTTTCCTTTAATTATTTAACTTAAACTGACCCCAATGTAAAAAAAACAAACAATAGCATTTATTTTGCAGTACCAAAAGAACACCTGTAGGAAATTCTGTCCTAGCGTTATATTAAATTTATCCTGTAAGTTATAAAGTTATTTATAAAATGTACAGTTTACATTCAGATAAATATTGTTCCAAAAAGGTTTTTCACCCTCAACTTGTTCCCCTCTCGACTCAGTGCCTCATCAGTCTAATTTTCAACACTTTGTAGTGTATAATTTCATTAAAAAAGTAAAGTCTCATTCAAGTCACATGTACTGCATTACTGTACTTCCATATTAGTGTTAAATATGTTCCAGTGAGCAAATCTAGGTAAAGACGTGTCACTGTCAAATACAGTAACCAGCCAATCAGTTCTGTCACCTATAGATAGCCAGCTAGACAGATAGTGGCAGGAAAGTGGGAGGTCTGAGTCTGAAATATAATCATGTGATATACGTGTGAAGATTGAGCAGATAAGGTTGTGCATATTTGGGTTGGGAAAAGCCACTTATTTTAGCAGCTGTAAGTAAAATCTCAATCACTATGCATACTAGAGAAACAGATGTCGCTTTATAGCAGGAATGTTTTAACGGTGATTTAAGCTATAGTTGTGATGGATGCCTTAACTTCTACTTCTCAGTTAAGTTGTATAAGCTTTATTAATGTAAATGTCATGATAAACATGCCAATCTGGTATGTCAGTCAGTCTAAGGTGAATGAACCAAAATGATACATATTACTGATCAATAATGAGGACATACTGCTGAGCAAAGTCTGTTTCCTGAGAAAGACCATTAGATGTGTTGTAAGTGGAGTAAAGACAAACAGTTATGATTTTTTTTAATCAAATGAAGATACATTTTTTTGTAGTAAGTAAATTTTGTAGATTAATTTATTAACATTACTAAATGGAAGACCGAGATCTCTCTCCGTGTTCGGGAGAGTGATGTGGTGTGTGGTCAGCCGCTGTGGGGGTGCTGAGAATCTGTGTTTTTTGCTTTGAGCTAAAGGAAATTATTGTCACATGTGGTGAAGTCAAGTATGACCTGCTGGCAACTCAAAACAGAGTCCCTGTTGCTGCAGTCATGGCTGTGTATGACGACAGAAGATACACCAAATATCAAGCCTCATGATAAACATGTTCTACGAACCAAATGTAAAACCCAACTTTTTTCTTCCTCTGCTCTCAGCTGCCTTTCCTTTGCAGTCGTGCGGTGCAGCTGGGATCTCTCTATGTCCGAGGACTGAGCCACCTGCTGGGTGCTAACTGTGCCAGCGGATGCCCACTGCCCAGCGCTGCCCTGATGCCTTGGCACAGCTTCGATGGACGGCTGTTCCACTCAAAGTACCTGCTGGCACACAGCGGCACAGAGAAAACAGTGTTGCTGGAAAGCGATGTAAGTGGAGACAGAAAAACAAAAAGGGGAATGTGTGTGTATATAGTAATGTGGTAACATTTTGAGGAGAGAAAAAAAGTGAGAAAGCGTGTTGTTATCTGCCTCTCTCTCCAGTCGTCCTGCTTGTCTCTGTTTGTCCGCCTGAGAGTGAAACTTACAGAAGCCTGCAGGAGACGAGGCAGAGTCCTGCAGTCCAGACCCAATCTGTTAGAACAAAGTCATAAAACCACACCAGGATACAGAGAAAAACACGCAGGTGAGACATGTGACTGACATGTGACTGACATGTCTTTATAGATACACACCACCCACCTACAATGTCGGCCACCTTTCACAGATTTTTCAGAACAGGTGAACACTTTCTTTCCACATGTGACTCGTGCTGATTGTTTTCTGTGGGGCACTGTGAAAGTGTTGTCTATAAAGATGTTGCTGTATATATAAAAAACATTTAACAATGACACAGTCACCTACAGACTTAATCAAAATCATAAAAAGGGTCACAGTGCATGATAAAAGTATGGAAAATATGTCTTCAAAGTACTAAAAGTGATTAATTAATAATCAAAAAAGATTGATTTTGATTGGCCAGTACTCTTCGGAAAAGGAGTTTTTATCTTGGGACCATCCTGGTTAAATAAAGGTCAGAGAGAGAAAAACGGTTTGACCTGAGTAAAGAAAGGTTATTGTGTTACGAGGACACCCTGGTGGCCTAGTGGTTAGGTATGCTTGGTGCAAATCTGGCTGGGGACCTTTGTTTCATGTCATAGCCCTCTTTCTCTTCCCGTGTTTCCTGTCTGTATCTATACTTTCCAATAAATAGGCAAAAATGCCAAAAGCAAACATTATAAAAGTGATTTTATAATGTCTGTATTATTGTTAAGGCTCCTGTAGTTCAGTTTTTATGTCTTGGAGCTTGTCTTTGTTTCTAATCACTGTCCAAAGTACAGAGAGCTTTAGAAACTCTCCATAGCCCATTTTAAAACTGAAGAAAATATAACAGAGAAGCTGCATTTTAATCTGACAGTTCATCTGTGGTTGTAGTTCTCTGGTGCCCCTCGCAGAACCACATTACCCAGAGGGCTGTGCTGTAACCAGCACCATATGTGCTGCGGCCTTAACGCATACCACCGGGTGCGTCCACGCACACACGTGCACGCTTGGATCGGAGACTGCTTTGTCAGTGCACTACTAATAGTAGGTTTCTGTTTATAGGCTGAGAGAGCTCTATTTTAAGACACACAACAAGACTAACTGATTACAGACTTCTCTCTTATGTCGCTTCCCTCTCTTTGCTCCCCTTCCTCTCAGTCATTCCCCTCTGTCTACCTCTTCATCCTTTCATTTTTCTCTCTTATTTTCTTCACTCTCTCTCTCTCTGTCTTTTTCTTATTTCTCACTGTTGTCCTCTGTGTGTTGCTGCGTGCAGCGTCTTCACACTCTACAGACGTCTTCCCATCTTATCAAACATATTCAGCCTCTTACACACCAAGTTGAGCTCTCTGTTGGCACAGACTCTGTCCTGCTCAGTGGTCACTCTCAGCTGACGACTCAGCAGTAGCACATGAAATGCGACCCCGTACTTTCTTTTCAACCCTGTGACTTATAAACCTTTTGGGAACATTTCTCTGCGTGCCCTGTTGGCGCAGAGTCTCCGAATTGCGCTGAACTGTCTGCTTTTTGCCCAAGTCAACCCTTGTGGGTCTCATGAGGATGTTTCTGGTTTTATAGATGGAAGGCTATACCCTCTTTATACCTCAGTGTTTCATTTCTGCCAGACGCAGACACCAATCATTACTACAGAACTGTGGGGATATGAACTGTGTGTGTGTATGAGAGACAGAGAGTGTGTGTGTGCGTGAGAGTAGTGGTGGCGCTATGTGGTATCGTTGAGGGCCCAGTTTGGTTTTTGTTTGGAATTGGGCCTGATGTTTAGTCTCCTCAGCAAATATCTCCTCTGCCCGCCTGCCCTGGCAATTACGTTTCAGCAGTGAATCCAGTATAGCTGCCCTCCCACGTCTCTTCAGTTAGCTTCTGTCTAAAAAAGACAAAAAGTAAATGAAAACAACCTAATTTTCTGATTGGCTCACGTGCGTTGTGGAGCACGTTTTCCTTTGGCTGATGAGGAAGTGATGGACCACTACTCTCTCCTCCAGCCTGTCCTCTGATTAACACACATTTAACTCTCCTCTGACACAGGATTAACACATTTTTTCTAATCTTTCTCGAATCTTATTTGTCTCCCACTTTTGGTTTTAGTCTGAATCTCAATCTGAGAAATTGAATCTTTTTCAAAAGACATACCAACCACTGGTAAGGTTTTTGGTGCTTGTGGCCTGACTTTTACATCCACTTATGCATGGCATGCTTTCATTTGCTTTTCCTCCGCACTTTCACACTCCGTGAATGGATTGATGGTAGGGTGGCGGGCTGATTTGGCCCAGCAGGCTATAGCTCCCTTTTGGCAAGGTCTAAAGTTGGACATGGTCTTTCATTTCAAGCACTTTGTAATTGACTTAAAATCTGCCACATCTGACAAAGTTCCTGAAGTGAAAAGTGTGCCAAGCTTTTTAGAATGCGAGAATAGATTTTAATTGTAGCTAAACAGGAGCAACATAGAGCTTTTTCTGTCAGTTCATCAATTTTATAACCAATAGTAGAGCAAAAGTCACAACCATAAGTACAAAGACTATGTTTCATCTTAGTTGGGGTTTTTGTTTTTATTTGTTAGATGACAGTTGACAAGGAGATCTGTAAGCTTTCAGCCTCATGAAATGTTTTTCTTTCTTTAAATAATTCAACTTTCGAACCCGGCAGCGTTTGTCAGACTTGATGAGTGTGTATGTCGCTGTGATATGGCATTTGTTGTATTTTTTTGCTGTTCTGTGGGTAGCCTTGAAATAACTGCAGACAGACTTTAAAGGCAAGCTGTGTGTGTGTGTGTGTGTGTGTTTGAGAGAGTGACAGAGAGAGAGGAGCAGTTGTTACTTTATGCAAAGATTGGGGCTATTAACCAAGATTTACTAAGATCGTAGAATTTAGAATTAGAGGTTGGCGCGGAAGTCTAACTTAACTTATCCAGTTCATTAGTCTATTCCCAGAGTCTAAAGAATAAGGCTAGTGAAGCCTCATAATTTACTCAGAAACTGAATTTAGGCTTAAAGCACGAGACAGCTAATAAATATGTGGCTATGAATAAATATGTGGCTATGCCAAATGTGAGAGGGGTCACTTGTATGAACCTACAGAGATTATCACCAGTCTCTACTGAGTTTTAGGTTTTCCCCTGCTGCAACTTTACTCTTTTGGTTCACACTCAGTTTTATGTGAAAAAGCTCTAAAAAACCACTTTACACTACCTGCGTAGCAAGAAATGGCAGACAGACATAGTTACGCCAGGAAACCACTGACTCCGGCCATGGCACATTACGGCTACGGCATGGATGCAAACATTGCCCGGCGCCACTGTAAGCGTCTCAGAAGCATGTTGCTTGCCCCACGTTATTTACTTGTTATTAATTTGTCATTTTTGTGCTTTTACCACCTTCTTCACAGCTCCCTGTGACCCCACTTCGTCACAGGGAGCCTTCTTCAGGCTGCATGTTGAAGTGTCCTTGGGCAAGATACTGAACCCCGAATTGATCCAGTGTATGAATGTGTGAATGTTAGTTTCTGTTTGAGCACTTAGGCTCAGTGTGTGAATGGTGAATGCAGATGTAGTGTAAAAGTGGGCGAAAAGACTAGAAAGGCGCTATACAAATATGGAGCAATACATTTACATTACAAATTCACTCGTTGCGTCAACTCTAGTACAAAAAAACAAACCAAAACAGAAGCAAACAGTAGACAAATAAAATATACATTAAATTACTATAAAGGAATTAAAATTGGAATAAATATGTACACTATTTACAGATGCAGGTATGTACAGGTAGGACCGGGGTTGCTAGATAAAGTGCAGTAGTGGTAATCAGTATTGCAGTTGGTGTATAGCAGGCAAGCATACAATACTAAACAGTAGTGCAATATGATGGTTACATTATGTTGCTTCCGAGTTAAAAAGTCCGACTGCAGCTGGAATGAAGGACCTGCGGTAGCGCTCCTTCTTGCATTTTGGGTGCAGCAGTCTGCTGCTGAAGTAGCTGCTTAAAGACACCACTGATTCATGCAGGGGGTGGGAGCTTGACTAGCATCCTCCTCCCACCCACCTGCTCTGTGGTGTCCAGAGGACAGTCCAGGACAGAGCTAGAACCTCTTAACCAGTTTATTCAGTCTTTTTCTGTCCCTCTCTGTGCTGCCGGCTCCCCAGCCGACGACTACGTAGAAGATCGCAGATGTCACCACAGTGTCTTAGAACGTCTTTAACTTTATTTCTCTGCGACATAACATTTTCAAGACTAAGCCACAAATTAGTGAAAAAGAGATTAAACACCCAATAACTCAACAGAAAATACCTGATATCACACATTTCCATTAGAGCCCAGTGCACATAAAACCACTGGGATGAAACAATACAGAAATCTTTCAAATGGTGTGTCCGTGTAGGGCTGATTGTAAGATAAGATGTTTTCTGGTCCTTTAAATATTACATTTCTCACTTTCAGGTCGGCATCCGGGTGCTGGTGAGAGCTGGAGGGAGAGAGGAGAGACGACAGGAGGCCTTCGCCATGGAGGAGGGTGGAGGGAGAGAGGGGAGGTGAGAGGAGACAGAAGAGAATATGAAAACAGAGAGAGACCATGGGAGAGAGGAAGAGGGATGAGAGGAGGCTGTGATGGAGGACAGTGCAGAGGTCGATACCAGCTGGCTGCGAGGTAACACCAGTGTGGCACTAAAATGTCTTCTGATCTAATGTTACTACTGTTCTTGTCTGTTCTGTAACGTTATGTTTCATTTTTTCCTCTCCTCTCAGATGGTCGCATCCTCCTGCACCAGGAAAATAACTTGACCCTGAACAGAGAGAAGAGGAGGATTAGAGGGGAGGATTTGAGGAGTTAAGAGGATGGGAAAGATGTGATGAATTTCTCTGAACAACCTGATTAGTGAATTACCCGTCAGGGATGTTTGTCTAAAGGAGGCAGTATGTAGAGAAATGGGGATCAAGAGGAGGAGGAATTAAGAGATTAGGTATACATCATTTAATTTGCCAGTTTAACCTGAATGTGTCTTTTTGTGCATCTAAAAATAATCCTGTAGACATACTATGAACATTGCAAAACCTCTCCTTTATCTCAGGGTGGCTTGCTTGTTTTACTGGGACAGAAATTAAACATACACATAATCACTCACAAAACAAATGAGTCAAACATTCACTGAGAAGTAGATAAATGGTTAATCCTCAAGTCAATTTTTACCTCTTATTTGTGACAAAATATCTTTAAAGCTATGTGTTTCCAGTGGCATAATCCTTTTAATGGAATGGTTTTAACTAGGGAAACAGCAACGCAGATATCAAATATCGGCCGAAATAGGGCATTGGTACCAGAGATTTATACACTTCCAAGAGCTATTTGTGACATGTCAAAAACAAATGAGGCAACTTGAGTTTCTGCACAGAAGAATGTGAGTTTTCTGTAATGGATAATAATAGAGAAAGAGGTTCAAATTGTCAGCTGTATTGTGACAATATCATTGAATTTAGAGTTTGTGGGGATCAAACTGATGAGGGTTGAAGAGGAATGTATAGCCAGTACAGTCAGTGTCACTGTCTTCCTGTAGCAGGGAACGCTGTAAAACCAACCAGAGAGGACAAGGATGCAGAGAAAGTTTCATGGCCTGAGTGCCCTCATTCCCCTCTGTGTGTGTGTGTGTGTGTGTGTGTGTGTGTGTGTCATATAACCCGAGTAGAGCAACAAATGAGGAAAAATCAGTGGTGATACAGTGATGGTGAGACTGTGTGTAGTGTGACAGAGCTGAGTGTTTATTCCCTGTAGTTTAATGATCCATTTCACAGGACCAGATACAGGCTGCTACATGTCTATATGTCTTACATGGACTGTGGATACATGTTTATCATGATCATTTAATCCAACGGGGAAGATTTTATCCTAAAACAAATCCTGAAGATCCTGGAGACTTGACTACAAAATATCAGCTTTTTCAGCCCCCAGACAAAACCACTGAGCACATGGACACTTTGTAATAGTAATATTTTATGTTGTATTGCAATCTCATATACTGCATTACTGTTAGTAATTTCATTTAAAATTTTCAGCAAAACTCCCTGGTGGAAGGAGGAAAATCTGATTCATCTTTCCATTTGATTCCCCCCACTTGTCGAACATGAAACTTTGTCACCACAGTGGCAGCACCAACGGAGAAAAGAAAGTTTAAAGTTCAGGCCAACTTACATAAAAAAACCCTCTTTATATGTTCATACATTTCTATGTCTATGAATATCATATCCTTTACTTTAGAACTTTGGGAAGGTTAAATATTTTTATCTTCATTCTGAATTTTTAGATGGTACAGAGGGACAAGGAATTGAACATCTTAGGGATTATTAGTCATGTGTGAACCTCCCTCTTTCCTCTCAGTCCAGAGGCAGCAGATCCTAAGAAGAAACAGAGACTGTGTGAGAGCTTTTTTTGGGTTAGTAACTGTGGTGAGTGGAGTGGGTGTGTATGTGAGGAGGGGCGACAAGGGTGGGGCACGCAACACACATACTTGGGTCCAGTTGCCCCCTCTGTATAATAACAATAACAGGAGAAGGGATGTTTTCTATGGTGAAGAGGAAGCCAGGCATGGAAGGTTAAAAGAGAGGAAGATGGAAAAAAATCTAAATGGAAGACGCAAATGAAGGAGCATAGAAGTAGAGAGAGGACAAGTAAACATTCAGAAGAGGGAAACGAAGACGACGAGTGAAGGAAACGATGGAGAGGTGGATGACTAAGAATAGAGAAAACAACAGAAAACAGGATGAGAGGGGAGAGAGTGGAGAAAAGAGGGGAGGAAAGGATAAGATAGAAAAGTTAAGAACATAAGCAATTTGAGTCGGTAGTCTTGCCTCAACCACAGGAAACCCTGTTGGCTGCCTGACAGATCAGCTTCCTGCATGTGTGTGTGTGTTTGTGTGGTGGAGGTCTGGGCGTGGTCCCTCCAGAAGCAGACAAACAGTCAAACCCCCTTTGGAGGCCTCCACCTAGGGATTGGCTTGGGCCTCTTTTCTCTCGCAGTCGACTGTCTACTCTATTTTGTCTTGCGCTCTCTGTCTAATCTAAATTTTCTGAGACTTTTGTCCTGACAAAGTCACCAAACAAGGCAGCCATTTGTGTAACCCAGCTGGACCGAGGGGATTTGATTTAAACCCTTGTGATGTTCAGTGGTGGCCACAATTGGCGGCACCATAATCGATCCCATCGTAAACCACATCAACAAACTTCACCTAAAGCAAATAGCCACTTTGAGGCAGAGTTACACATTTATATTTCTGCACTTACCTCTGCACAGTTGTAACATTATAATGTATAGTATTTGTCACAAGTGTTGCGGATATTCTAATATTTTCCAGCATGAGTCTGGTGAGTTCAATGATGCGTTCTGATTGAAGTCAAAGAGGATTTTTGCTTTGCATTGTTCATGCTGGCAGGCAGTCAGTGTTTATTCACCACGAACAGACAATATACAGATTGTACAGACTTCCTTGTTACGTACATACTCTGTATAACTCAACTATGACACTGGTTAAAGTTAAAATTGTACCATGAAAAAAATCATCACATATGCTTTAATATAATGTAAAGAATTTTAACATATATTGAATGGATTTCCTTGAAATTAGGTTCAGACTTTTCATCTAAAGGCCAATTCACAGTTTTTGCACCCTGTTTAGTTTTTTAAAATACTTTTTTTTATGTTGTTCAAAATGCATGGACCGTGTCGGGTACACATAACCCTGATTGTAGTGTGTAAAGAAGACCATCCCCTGCTTATTATTAAGGTTTAAAAAAAGCATCATCAGGTCAAAATATGGTGCTAACTAGCTAATGTTACCATGCTAACACACTACACTAAGATCAGGAGTATGGTAAACATCATACCTGCTTAGCATCAACATTTTATCATTGTAACATGTGCCATTGTGTCAAAGTACAGCCTCACAGAGCTGCTAGACCCTTAAAAGGAGGGTTGTCAGGTGGATGATGATCCATTGTTCAAATTCTGAGCTGCATGCAGTTACAGCATTTTGTGAGAAAATGTGAGAGGAGACATCAATTTATATCAACCACAACACCACTTGCTAACATGAGAAAACTGCCAACAAACCAGCTGTCATAGAGGGTAATTGTAATTATTATATGGTGAATAACATGTGTTCTAGGAAGTTAACAAGTACCTTCAGATTGATGTGTTGACCAAGTGGTGTTTTCACTTTCTTACGTACCGGTGAGCTTCAGGATTGCAGAGCAAAACATGTATTAAATGTATTAAACAGATTTAGAAATATAGAATATTTGAAATCATTCTTGGAGGACCCTTTTGTCTATAAGAGTAGCTGTATTTATGCAGTGATGCATTTTTATTCATCCAAACTGTTGTTGCATTCAGATTGACATGCTAAGAGGAAGGCCTGTTTGTTTTCTTGGTTGATTGCATGTGTGTGTGTTTATGTGTATGACTGTATACACACAAAGAAAGAGTCTTGGCGACAGAAATGGCTCTGTTATTTTGTTGTTGTTTTAGTCAGTTTTACAGAGGCACGCACCAAAGTAACACAGGCTTCCAAAAATACACTGATCCATAGTGACCAAATATAACCCATCTGTATTTACAGCAGCCTATAAATATAAACTGCTTTCTTTAGCTGAGGCCAAAACACAGAGGGGAACAACTCCCAGGCGGCTCTCTGTGTATGTGTGTGTGAGACCAATTCTAGCGAACTCTAGACTCCTGCCTAATGTAGTAATGGACAGAGAGGAGGTTATTAAAAAAGAAGACTGGAACAGAAAAGGAGAAAAAACTGAACAAACACAAGTAGAGAAGAGAGAGCAGATAAGAGAAACCAGACTGACTTTTAGCTTTATTACTGTTTTGCCACCATGACAGTGACAGGCAATATGCTGTTAAATAATTAATTCAGATTTTATAGTCTATTTTAATACAGTACCTGTATTTCATTTGTATATTGAAAGAGTTATTATATGCAGTAATCATTCATACTGGCCGTGAAGCTACTCCTTCCCAGAGCTACTCCAAAACCCACAGGTGTTAGACGGGGAAACAGCTCGCCTGGCTCTGTCCAAATTTAAACAAAATCTGCCTACCAGCACCTCTAAAAGCCTTTTCAAACACAACATGACAACAGCACCACTACCTAAGCAATTATTTCCAATGGCTTGAGCAGGGCCACGACTGCTTTTCGTTACATCGAGCAAAGCGCTTGACACCATAAAGCGCACCACTTGTGCCAAAGTTCAAATCACGTTGTGTCTGAAAGGGCTCACTGATTTACATCTCATTTGTTTAATCCATACACAATGTATGTGAAAATGACAAGTTGTAGTTGTTGTCGCGGTGGATGGATAAACTTGTCAATTAGTGTGTTTATCCCAAAATGTTGAACTTATTCTTTAACATAGACTCATATTTCTATATTCTGATCAGTCTGTTGCTTTGGCAGAAAGAACAGCAGTAATCTGTTGGTGCAAAGTGATTGTGGTAGAGTGCTGGCACGTTTAAACAGGAAGTTGTTTCCATTTATTTAGTTTTAGCGCTCATGTAAATGCTTTGTGGGATTGATCTGTCAGGTTGGATTAATACAGAATTGGGGCTCCAGAAAATGCTATCGAGTGAATTTGTTTACAGATTGTGTAATGCTGGGTAATGCTTCTTTTTTTTTTTTTTACTGGTCTGTGATTTCAAAAATATTTCCTTGAAAGTTTCCTGGAAACAAAACTACATAAATTGGCACTAATTATAAGGAAAATATGTCCTTGAATAAAAAGCAAAATTTTAACCCAAGCAATTATTAATTCATTATTTATTTGGCTTGAAGACAGATTTCACAACCAGTTACAGTTTAGAAATCATACCCGACCGTAGTGCTTTGGGCAAAAGACAAAGGTGTGGCCTTTCCCTTAACCAACATGTCAACATCAGCACACACCGCCAGTGTGCTTGCTTCCAGTGGTGGATAGGAGCTCTCTGCCACTCCCTCCCTCTTCTCCTCCAATCAGCTCCGTCCCTCCCTTCTCTCATCTCCTCCTTTATCTCTTTCCACCTCCACCCAATTCTTTTCTCTCGCTCTTTTGCCTTTCGACTATCTCCATCCCCCCCACCCCCACCCCACCCAAC